TCACTTCGTATTCGGAATCGGGAAGCCCAATTCACTACCTATTCATAGTTTCAACTTCAACAACTCTTTTCTTGGTTTTTGAGAATCACTCTCTATAAATTCTACGAGTGCACTCACAGATGAGATTTGTTAGTCATGTAATGATTAGTGGCAACCGCTAAGGACATTATTATTCGTTGGAAAAAACTTCAAACTCCGATATGAATAACTCAGTTTTGGTTTGTTATCAATCAGTCAATGTTAGACGCGACTGATTGCTCATCTTTGGCGCCAGTGGTATAACATGAATATCTTATGTTTGTGATAAGTGCGATGATTCCCGTTTATGAATCATGCACCATTAGGAGTTCAATAGAAGGTAATACCATGCTAGTTCATCCAATTGTATCGATTTTTTCTTTCACATGTCAAAATGTGACGTTTTCGTTATTTCAACCAATATCGATACGTAATTTGTAGCCATCATCCTACTGATAATTTGTTGGTAGCAAATAACAGCGAAAATTTTTTCACGTTCGGATCTTCGTGTAATTCAATATTTTCTTCGTATGATTTCAAATCAAACGTTCAATTGAATCGAGCTACCTTGTATAATTTCGAATATACGTGGATATACATAGAGTAACTCCACCAATCAGATATTTAGATTTATTTCCATAATAACCAATTCATATTGTTACATACACGCTGAATTACATGGTGGTGGTATATTTTTTTATAATTTCAACAAGATGCACGAATCTTTGTTGCTATAGAAATCTCAATTTCTAAATAGCAAGAAAGACGAGTGGTAATCTAACCTAATTAACATATCACTTGTTAAATTTTTTTTTAATTGACTCAGCTCAGTGGATTTCCCAAAATCAATTTGCCAACAAAATATATTCCGCGTCAAAAGGGTTGATTATGGGAAATCCACTGAGAGCCCTTAACTTAACTAGCTGAAATTTTCATGAATTTGAGCGAATAATACATAAACATTCATTGATAATACAATTTTTGTATTGGTATTGATACGTAGATGACATGATAGTATGCTTAAAAGGAACCAATAGACAATATATTGATACTATTCATCCAAACATAAGATTCACAATGAAAATAGAAACAGAAAAGTCAATCAATTTCTGAGATTTGACAATAAGTAAAATCAATGATAAACATGATTTTTCAATTTTCCATAAACCTATCCACACTGATATCACTATTCATAATAATTCAACACACCCTTATCAACATAAAATTGCAGCAAAATTGTGTGATACACAGGCTAGTGAATGTCCCTCTTTCAGAAGTAAATTTCAATAAAGAACTCAATATCATAAAACAGATTGCAGTCAAAAACGGATACAACGTTGATTTGATAGAGAGTATTCTTTCTAAAAACCTTCATAATAAAGCTATTCAGGAAGTTTATCCTACTATCAAGAATAATAATCGAAGTTATAGAACTTTAACCTATTTCGGATCATCAACTGAAAAATTAGCTTCATTTCTACATAAACCGGACTTGAGAGTAACATATAGAACAAATAACACGTTGGGAAGGTTTATCGAAAATAATGAAGACAAAACTTCTAAATTCGAAGAATCAGGGGTATACAAACTCAAGTTTGGATCTTGTCCTAAGGTATATATCGGTCAGACAGGTCGTACGTTTAATCAGCGCATTCATGAACATAAGATAACATAACATTTGTTGAATGAGAAAACAAATTCAACATACGCCAACCATATATTAGAAGAAAACCATAGTTATGATGATAATTTCGAAATTCTACACGTAGAAAATAAAGGAATGAAACTCAGTCATTTTGAATCATTAGAAATCAACAAACTCAAAAATGTTGACATTTTACTCAACGATCAATTAGAACTCAATAGTTCACCACTGTTGAATTTGTTTTTTTCAGTAGGTAATAGTATGAATTTGCTATCAATACTTTCAAGTTAATCCGGTACACATCAGTATTTTCATGTAGATATTGTGCCTAATTTCCGAAAATGAAGGTTTATCTTACCTGTCCAAAGGTAGATAACTAATCCTTCGAGTTGGGAGAGTAGGATATATAAAAGTTAAGCAAGCCAACGTTGGTTTAGTTCATTGTACCAGTATATCACCTGACGAAGCTACTGTGTTAGCGAAACATGTTGTGTGTTCAAGAAATTTGTGAAAATCTCATCGTGTGAAGTTTTTACATATTACTTTTCTACGGTTGTAACACGAAACTGCTCTCTCAACTGTTTGAGATAAAACAATTAATCTTTCTTGTTTTCCACCTATTCAAAACAATTTAAAACTGATTTCATACAATTTTCTCTTCGAATATACAAGGTATGTGGAAATAAATATATTTTTTGAATGATTATACACACGTTGTTTCTTGAAGATAATAGGGATCCCCATTGGTGCATTCTAAAAGATGAAAGAAATTACCTTAAGACCTATAATGAATATTATTTCCATTTTATACCTTCATGACTAGCACTTACGATACATTGAAATGCATTGAATTGTGTAAAAGAATCTGATAAGAGGTAGTTCACATTTTCTCATTGCAATGTTATATTTAGAAACCCAGCAATTATATTATTAACGATGCTTCATCATAATTAACGGAATTTCTTACCGAGCAGTAGGCGGAAACGGAAGGAAATGACATAATAATACACTTTTTTTTTCTCGAAATAATTGAGGGTGTTACCACACACACGCTGTATGATTTCCCAAGACTGATAAACCGCTGTCTCGTATATACACCTATAAGGCGATATCGTAGAAATCAGGAAGTGACGAAGGGAAATCTTTTCTTATCAAACTACTTATAATGTATATCCTTTCGAAATCATGTGCAGATGTTTGAAATTTACTAACAAATGCAGCTGAATAATCACGATAAGAAACACTATTGCATGCATCTGCAAACAAGATATTTTTTTCTTTTTATGCGTATAACTCATTTATTTATCCAGAACAGGATTTTATGGGAATGGAAAATTTCAAGTAACGCATAACAAATAATATGATTTGGTGATTCCAATTGGCCTCTGATACCACCCGATCTGAAAGATCCTGCTATTTATTCATGGGAATATATGGAATATCTAGAGTCCAGACCTTGAAAGGATACGTCTCAAATTCATCTGAAGATTTCATGAATGAATCAATTAGTGTTCCTGGAATATTTGGCCATTCAGATTGAAACGATGAATGGTGGGAATCATTGCCCCAGAGAATTGATATATCCAGGGCCGTATCCAAAGTGAATATTTATTTAGGGTAGGCAAAAAAATGTTGGGCATCAGGCCACAATTGTATTCGACTCAAAAATTATTCTTTGGTAAACAAATATCACAAATATATTCTGACAAACTCTAAGATAAAGGCAAACTCTAGAATCAAGATGAAAGAAAAACAATAAACTCTAAAATAAGAACAAACAAAGTCAAAATAGTTGCAGACGTAGATTGTTTCGTTCACTGAATCTTCGCAGAAAAATGTTCATGTCTAGTGCTTTGATGCGATGTCTTTCCAACACAAGAATAATTAAATTGGCCATTCTTTGTTGGCAGATAGGAAAGCGTTGTGGACGATAAATTCTTGTCAAAAAAGAAAATTCACTCGTCACTGTACTGGATTCAAAGGTCCTAGTTGATGCGAGAAAATTATAGGTATCTTGGAATGCTTCTCTATGTTTAAAAACTTCATCAAAAATGCACTTTTTCAGGATTTCTTTCCCTCTGGTTCTGAATGAATTTTTTCACCAAAAATACTTCGTCAGATGATGGAAGTTCAATGCCCAAAGTTTTGAAAAACTGCATTTTGGACAAATCGATTCCTTCTTCATCCTCTGCACTGGAAGCTCCAATCAGTAGTTCACTATTGTTTGTGAATCTTCGATTCATTTCATTGAGAATTATATCTAGAGTTTCATGAAATATTCTTTTGAAATGTTGATTATTTTGATCCACTTCTTCTGACCTCTCTCCAATTTTATCTAAGATCAGGAAGTCTGTGAGCTTTGTATTCACCTTGTTTTTCTTTTGTTATTGTTAGGTATTTCTTCGTCCACTACGTCAAAATCTTCAATTTATTTAAAAATGTCGTCATTCCTAGAGCTTTCTGAATGTTCTGTTCTTGCACGAAATAAAAATCTTCCCTTCTTTGGTATTCCTAGAGATGTCTACCACGGTCTTCAAAATAAAGACAGAATAAGAGTAAGTTACCGGAATGTTTCCCAAAATTTGTTTCATGGATATACCATGCAGAATAGAAACTATGGATTTCACGACTTAAGCAAACCAATGTTTTCTATAACGTAATTGCCATCTATGGATCTGTTTCTTCTACTTCTAACGCTTCAATTATTTTCTGAAAGTTGTTGAAAATTATGCGTATATCTACAGATTGTTCCAGGGCAGGCTGAGCCTGCCCTGGCGTACCGCTAACTACGGCCCTGGATATATCATGTGAAATGTCAAGATATGATTTTTATTTGTACTTCTTTTCTGTACAGAATTGACACTACCGAAATATATCAATTCATTAAAGAGTCTGATCAGATTTATAAGTTATTGAAACAATAATAACTATAATCATACAACAGCCGGAAAAGCATTGACTAACAACCAAAACGACAAATGACATTTCCTACTGTGATTTGCTTGTCAACTACGAAACTTTGCGGTGTTGCTACGTTTATCTTGAATTAGGCATTTCCTATTCTTTTTTATTATGTATACCTGAAGAAAAAGCGTATGAGGTGTCAAATAGTCTTTGTTTATTTAGTCATTTCGTTGTCACTCTTGCGAATATATGTAGGAACTGTTGTAAATTCCCTACTCGTACAATTTTTCCTTGAAAAATTGATTTGGATAATCTAAACAACGGTCTCAAACCAAATTTGGTGCTACAAACTCCTTTCTACTAACGGTAAAATTCTTGAAAAGGGTACACTGAAGGCTGAGTTTTAATAATTTTGAGAATGTTGAAAACTCACCACAATCATCTCCGATGGTTCCAAGACAAAACATTCATTCTGTCGTCGAGCGCTACCACCAGTCCGTTTTCCAAAACTGAAAAAAAATGAGTAGGTATTAATGAGTGTTCAGATTTTTTCAATAATGATATAATGAATGTTCAAATTTTCCATGGTGATATAAGGTAACGCCGTTTCAACGGCATGAATCATTCAACCTTGAATCATTATCGGCAATGAGTGTGATCACAAAAAAGAATGCCATTTGTTGGATAACATTTTATCTCATTAGTAATAAGACATGTTAACAATCAAGCATTTAGAAAATATTTAATATTTTTTCACATAAACTGGATTCGATTTTCAACTCATTCATATACCATGAAATACACGGGTCTGCGTTTAATTCATTCGAGAGGTATGGTTGTTTAAATACTCTACTTATACACCTCTGCACTTTTACCATTAGATCATCCTCATTTACAATTCGATCTTTGTTGTAGCGAATTCGGGTGTCACACAAGGATCAAATCTTGGGCCATAATCATTTATACTATTTATAAATGACATAGCCGATGGCATCACTTCTCATAAACTGCTATTTGCAGATGACATGAAGATATATCGTGAAATACACAGTGAAGCAGACTGTTGCACATTGCAGGAGGACTTAAATTCGTTGACTTATTGATGTAATGGTAATAAATTGAACTCAAATAGAAATAAATGTAAAATCATGACATTCACTCGTAAAATCCGACCAGTAACATTCAACTATGTACTAGATGGTAAAAGTTTAATGGGATTACGGAATCTAAGGATCTAGAGGTTCTGTTTGATCAAAAATTCACGTATTCCAATCACTTTCGAAATATGATATCAATTTCAATGAAAATTTTTGGTTTTTTGATACGCAACTGCAAGGAATTTAGGACCTTTGACTCCTTGAAAACCATTTATATCAGACTGATCAGGAGCAAATTAGAGTATTGCAGTGTCGTTTGAAATCCTTCTTATATGACACATATATCTAGCCTAGAAAATGTTCGAAAAAAATTCTTGAAATATGCATATTTCCAAAAACATGGTGTTTATCCCGAGGGAGGTTATAGCTATGATTCATTGTTGGACGAGTTTCATATGATATCTATAAAGAAATTCAGGGAAAGTCGAGATATGTGTTTTGCATTTAGGTTTTGTAGCACATTTCATATTCCTATTTTCAATACAGTGCATCATTTCAATTCTCCCATATCTACTATATCTAGAAAAGTTTCCTAGTGTAGATATATTTTTTCTAACGTTCAAACAATTCAAAAAAGAGATTCTCCGTTTAATTCAGAATTGATTCTGTTATAAGTGTAATTATTCATAATGCTAATTGTATACACCTGTAAATGGCCTTTGGGCCTGCTGGATGTATTCTATCGATAAATAAATAAATAAACATAAGAGCATCAGCGTTTGTTTGGGTGATGAGTCCTGTGGCGAAACCCCATAATTGTGGAATTTTTTTTTTAAATCGGTCGTATCCTCGTATCTATGCTTTGTAGATCATAAGAAGCTGTTGAGGTTTAAAGTAGCTTGTGGCTCAGAAACTAGGTTGATGGTTTCCCAGGCTGTAATTTTAGCAGGATCTTCATTGGCAGCGTTGGCCTGCTTTCGTTGTGAGTTCTTAGTTTCCTGGGAAGAAACGGTAAATCTGGAAGAGAACGCAGTATGGAGAGTTGCAGAGCTGTGGAAGGACACGTTACTCCAAACAGATGGCTATGCATGGTCAAAGATCACTGAATATATATCGTAACGTGAACAAGTAAATCACCAGTTGATCTTCAATAGTGAGTCATATAGACAATCATTAATGATACCTGGACGTTCTAGATGATTGATAAACTCGATGTAGATGGCTTTCTCCATCACTTTGAAATATCTGATAACAGAGTGATAGCCTTATAGATTGTTGGGCAGGTTTTTCTTTCTCTTTTTGGGGATTGGTTGGAATCTTAACCAGAATGAAAACACACCCAACTCGTCGTATTGGTCAATTATTGTCCAATTTCATCAAATTAGGTCCAGTCTAGTACAGTAGCAATAGTGAACTATTTCAGTACAATCCCATGAAGATACAATTTTTTTGTGCTAAAATCATCTCTGACCTGTTCGGTAGATATTCATGATGCGAGAGTAATACTTTGGATATTTCCCCGCCCCCCTGCTAATCTAATCCAAAACGGAAAATTCGTCATCGTGATTCAGTTGGTTCCACCCCTGGTATACACCCCCTTTTACCCTTCCATCGCTCTGCCGCTTCATTCAATTATTTCATCTTGTTTGGCGTTAAACGTCCGCGATAACTGGATTACGGCGTCGTTAGTCGAGTCGAGGTTTCGACTAATCCGGCCATCTTCAGTGATTAACAGCCCGCCAGGCTTGATTTCTCACAGTGAGTGGTATGCGAGCTCGACGAGATATTCGAGAGGGAATTTAATCTGCGTTCAATTGAGCTTAGTACAAGCTATAGTGTTCATTTTGTTCATTTATGCCTATAAGTTTCCGAATAAAGTGTTGAATATAGTACCTGACACCTTAGGAAATTTGAAATACTCTCATGTTGAAACGCAAATTGTCATTTTATACAGAATGTCATATCATTTTATTCAGAATATTATTGAAGATGTAAAAACTTCACAAAGTGAAGGAACGTTGGTTTAGTTCATTGTACCAGTATATCACCTGACGAAGCTACTGTGTTAGCGAAACATGTTGTGTGTTCAAGAATTTTGTGTAAATCTTATCGTTTGTGAAGTTCTTATATTTGCCATCATGGATTTCAATCAAGTAACGGCCGAGTCAATTCAAAAAAAAATTATTGAAGATGTATGATATTTTGAAACGTGTACTGTTCCAAAAAGAAATCTATCTCTGTTTATTTAGGTATTATTGTTCTGAAATTGTTTTTATTCGTCATTCGGTTGCCCCTTTACGAGCAACCTTCAGAAATCTTCAATAGACTTGTGCAAGCAAGGAATGACGAGGGTCCCACCTTTCAACGTGTGATCCCAAACACTTTCTCAGGCAATCAGAAAAATTTCAGCAGTCGTTGGATTCGAACCCACGAACCGGCAATCCAACGTGAATAGAATATTGACGCTTCAATCAAGAGGCTGGGTGAGACAAAAAATCAGTTGAAAAAAAGATACTGGAGCTCAACTTCAATCATCGAAACGCCACCTTCTTGTCTGTGTGATCAAGTCATAAAAATAGTAGATTGTTTTATTAGGATCAAAAGTGACACTTTGTTTGACAAGCGAATTTTGCATTTGCGAGGCGGAGCGTTTAGCGAAGCCGAGCGAAAGCGAGTCGAACAAAGTCACTTTTGATCCGAATGAAACATGCTATTTTTTCTGCAACCGAAACAATTAACTCAAATAAACATGTGAAGTAACAACCAATGCCGTGCCATATGTATGCAATGCAACAAATATTGACAAATAATCCATGCATATGTGATGAGAATATTCTACCTGCATTAACAGCAGGTTAGGTTTTCTAGGATGTTCGAATTGTAGTTTCAATATGAATACAACCACAGAGTGACATATTTGTGTATGGACCAGGTGCTCTAATGGCAAATACCGCGCCAGTGCCAGCTATAGGAACAAGACGCGGAAAATGTTAGGTTAGTGAGCATATCAACAATGATAATAGTGATTATTTATTCCTCTCCATACTACACTGTGTTTGACTTGATAATCAAATGAAGCTAAACAATATCGTTGTTTGAGACAAAAAACTATTGCTTGCCGTGATTATTCAAAAACAAGTTATCCATCCTGAGTATAACCATAGATTCTTGAAGGCTTCCCTGATCAAAACAAAAATACTTAACTGAGATGTTTATAATTCCAATACTAAACTATAATAAGGTGTATTTATATCTCCAGCATGGGTATGAGATGCCAAATCTGCTGAAATCGGAAACAATTCACGTATGCGTCTCAACCCAAATAACCAACCATCACAATGTTGTTTATTCTTGATGACTTTCAGTACATCCTTTTTAGTTCCTAGGAGCTTAAGTTCAACTTTAGCTCCTAGGAACTAAAATTCAACTTTAGCTTCTAGGAACTAAATATGTTGCCTAGCAACATACCTATTTTTGTGTCAGTAATAGAAACTTCAATTTAAGAGCTAATTTTGGTATCAAAATGGACGACTTTTGTGTCGGTTGCAGAAAAACGATATTTTTTCGTTGTGTGACTTGTATATTTCTAGATTTTACCATCACTAGCTTCTTTAGACAGCTGATAGAAAGCTTTCATCTCATCTGACGTTGCATTTAGAGTTTTTGAAAGAAGAAAAATATATATCTCAAGTTTTATGATAAGTTTTGCTTCTTGTAGTTGAAGTTGAACATTCGAACGAGTCCTAAGGAAAAATCAAAAGAAAAATGCATCTCCTTTTGGGTGCGACACATAAATAATCAAATAGTTCCCATTACCTATAATATTAATCACGATCAACAAATGAAATTACAAATACAACGAAAATAAGGCATGACATATTATTATACTAGACCGTGAATAAAGAAATAAGCAGATAACAATAAGTACATAACCTCAATGAGAATGCAGCTATCAGCAAGATTTGGTGTGAAACTGGTTTCTGATGAAAATGTGGGCGCGATGCCCGATTGAGAAACAATGAAAATCTACTCCGAAATGTCTCAACAGAATATACCAGTGGTAATTTCAGGAAGACTTTCAAAATATCTTATAGCAACCCACTGGTGTCTTCATTCCTATAAGTTCCACTCTGTTACACTTGATGAAAATTCAATGATCTTACATCATGTCAGGTCAAATATCTCTCACTGCATTCATCCCAACAAGTTCATATCCCAGATGACGATCTGACGACAAAAAAGAGAAACACATGTGCCACGACTGTGACGACGACTGGGTTGTGGAATGACGTCACAGGAAAGTGGCTGACATACCGGATATGAAGAGCTGTCGCAAGGATCAATTCGAACATGATCTCTACAACTTGAGAACAGGGACAGAAGTTTGTTGAAGAAGATCTTTCAAAACAGAT